GGACTTCATACCTTTAGCTTTAGTCCAAGGGTCTCCAACCTTGCCAACTTTAACACTTGTGGACTTCAAATCGCAGAATTCCCCCGCCAGCATGAAGTCCACAGACAAGGCTGGCTGAGGAATTCTGGGAGTTGAAGTCCAACAATCTTAAAAGTTGCCAAGGTTGGAGAACCCTGATTTAGTCCAATGACTGTAGAAGGTCTACTATATGAATATGAAGCCCCAACATTAGAAATTATGGTAAAAAGAGAAAACTAGCTCTGAGATTGGGTTACACCAGGAGTGGGTTCTACTTACCTTTACTACCAGTTTGCAACAAGAGAGCGCGGGCGCACATGGCACTTATGCGCATGCGCAGATCGTAACTTATGACGTCGGGCGGGTGGGGGAGCCTCCTGCCGCTTTTACTACCGGTTCTCAAGAACCGGACAGAACCGGGAGCAACCCACCACTGGGTTACACCCCAAGAAAGTGTCAAAAAAGTCAAGATGACATCCACAGCCAACGTGTCTGAAGCCCCGCCTCCTTTTATGCAGATTTTAAAAAGGGGGGTGGGGTTCCAGTCACACAGTTTTGGCCGCCATCTTGAGTCCTACTCCCACCTTGTGTGTCCTGAATACTTTCCAGATTGTGACAAGGATGATAAATCACATTTTAGAAAGTGTTTGGGTACACAGCTTGCTCCACAGCTTGTAGAGGAAAGAGGTTGGCTGTTAAATGTGGACATTTTGTCCTGAATTCAAGGCTGCCTCTGTTTAGCGAAGCTTTTGCTGCATCGGGAATGAGCGTGAAGATCTTTGGCAGCATCCACACAACACACAACATAAACCTGTGGCTTGGGGGGATGACTATTTGAAGGCTAACTACTAGGAATTGGATTGGATAATTATGGTTAGCTAGCATTTGTGGCATGCACTTCTCCAGAAGCTACAGAAAGTTCTTGCCACCGATTCCAAATTTGCTTGAGAAGGCAGGAACAAAGACTGGTTTATCTTATCAGGAAAGGACCACCAGCCACCTTACAGAAAAGTCTGGTTTATCTGCTCTGTAAAGATGAGATTCTAACTTGAAAGTTCACTCATCTTGGCAAACAAGAAAGGGAGGGAGGGAGGAAGATAGGGTAGCTGTGGAATGAATGAAAAACCAGACAAATCACCTAAGACAGCACTGTCTTGGCCCTAAAGATATTTAGCCATGTAGTAGGCTGTATTGCTATTATCCTCATCTTCTCATCTTTTTCATCTTCTCAATTCTCATCCTTTCTCTTCTTTCCTACTATCTTCTTTTATTAGTATCTTATGATTTATCACTCGTATCTTATGATTGATTGTAACTACGGTATGTTTAAGATCTATGACCTATCGCTTGTTTGTATGTACACTGAGAGCTTATGCACCAGAGACAAATTTCTTGTGTGTCCAATCTCATTTGACCAATCATTTATTCTGTTCTGTTCTGCTCTGCTCTTCTCTTCTCTACTCTCTTTATTCTTTTCTCTCTCTATTGTTTCTCTTCTCTATTCTTTCTCTTCTCTCTCTATTCTTTTCTCTCTAATATTTTCTCTTCTCTCTCTATTCTTTACTGCCTCTACTCTTTCTCTGCTCTCTTTTCTTTCTCTATTCCTACTCTACTCCTACTCTATTCTCTTCTCTATTCTTTCTCTTCTCTATTCTTTCTCTTCTCTATTCTTCTCTTCTCTCTCTATTCTTTTCTCTCTATATTTTCTCTTCTCTCTTTATTCTTTCTCTCTCTATTCTTTTCTCTCTCTATTCTTTCTCTTCTCTCTCCATTCTTTACTGCCTCTACTCATTCTCTGCTCTCTCTTTTCTTTCTCTACTCATACTCCTACTCTACTCCTACTCTGTTCTATTGTATTCATTCCTGCATAGAGAACTTACATTGATTCCAAAGGTAAACTCACTCTGTCTTTTTCTCCTGCTGACCATATTCCTCAAATCTCCAAGATAACTTTAGGTCCCCTGCTGATCCCCCATGTACAAAATTAGAAAGGGGAGGAGGACTGATCTTTAAAAAAAAGAAAAGAAAAACCACCTTGAAGTACAGGAACTGCTACATGACTCAGGTATAAGAAAGAATCTCAGGGGTCCAAGATTCTACTGGCTGGCCTCGCCCCGTCGTCAGTCATATGTTAGCCTAGCCACCAGTGCCGCCCCGCCCCGCCCCGTCATGGCAAACCATCAGGGTTTGACAAAGATGTCTAGAAGAAAAAAATTGAATCTTTTGTGGGTGGTCCCTACAGTTTGTGTTGACAAAAACATACAGCTGAGTTGAAAAGGCACCTACAGGTAGTCCTAGTGTCAACTCGCAAAGCATCCCTGGCCTGCTCTCGAGTTGCCATAAGCAAGGGGGGATGGGAAACCGACGAAACGGCACAGCAGCCAAAGACAGATGCACATTCCAAACTTATCTCTCTCAAGGCTGTATCCCAGGGTTACCTACAGCAGCCGGAGGGGAGTGGTCTCTACAACCCGCGAAATCGCTCTGTTGGCGAATGTGATTGGTGACACACCCTGGGGGGAAGGGTCATGATTTAATTAGGGCATCCTTCGGAACCCTGACACCTGAACTTATGTCCATAATTGGACCCCAAATTTCCATTACTAAGCAAGACAGTTGTTAAGTGAGTTACTACCTTTCTTGCCACAGTTAAGTGAATGGCTGCGGTTAAGTTAGTAACAGAATTAAGTGAATCTGCCTTCCTCAATGACTGCTGCTGTGGTCATAAGTGTGAAAAAACAATCATATGGCACATTTTCCAGTACCATTGCAACTCTCACTAAACAAAAGATTGTAAATTGAGGACTATATTGTAATAGCATTCAGCTCAGCTGGTTTTACTCTGCAACAGAATAGACTTGGGATTCTCCCTATGTCTCAACCTTCCATACAGTGTTTTTCTACCACTTGTCTTTTTTGTGTGTGTTAGGAAAAAAAAATTGGCAGGATACGTCCACCATAAACCTTCACCTGAAAAGAACCTCAAAACTCAGCCAGACATTTCTTGGATCACAGGTCAGAATTTTCCCCCAGGTGGGCAAAAGTCCTAATTCAACAAATTTCCCTTTACAGGATGCCAGGAAAAGATGATAAACCTCAGGGAGAAATCTCTCGCCAGCCAGCCATCTGGGCCGCCAAGTCAAAACGTGGCTTACTTTAGCAAAGATGTGTCCAACCTTGGCCACTTTTAAAACGAATTCAACTCCCAGAATTCCGCAGCCAGCAAATAAATAATCTTATTGTACTCTAGTAGTGGGCAACCAGTGTGTTGAATTTTTAATTGGAGTGCACGACTCATTTAATCAAGTTAAAGAATTAGCGTAAAGTTGTACAACCGGTTAGTTTTTCGTTTTTAAATGTTTATTGTCTGTCAAGTCAATTTTGACTCTGGTGACTGCCTGGACTGGTTCCTGCAGTTTTTATGCCAAGATTTCTGGAAGTGGTTGGTCCCAGTTATCTTCTTCTAAAGTCTGAGTGGGAGTAACTGGCCCATAATCATTCATCTGGTTTCATGCCTACAGGAGGATTAGAACTCGCCGTATCCTACTTTGCAGACTAGTGCCTTAACCGCTACACCAAACTGGCTCTCAAATTATGCAAAGATAAGGATTCGGAAATGCGAATCCGGCATCATCGGAGTAGGTGGCCTTCTTTCTTACAAAAGTTATTTTTTACCTCACAGGATACTCAAAGTAGGCCACCTCAGCATCATCCCAGTTAGACCTGGTCGGAACCAGAAAGGGTAGCACAATTGCTTGAAAATTCAGAATCAAACTTTATGGTTCCTCACCTATGGATAGAAATCATGTCAGATTGAAACAGCTCCTTGCACCATTAAATGTATAGTCTGGGACCTCTTGAGGAGGAACCATCTTCATCCTCTTTGTCTCACACAAGCTATCTAAACTGGCACCTCCGGAATGCAGCCCCTCCCTCCAGAGAATTCAGACCTCATTCTACCACAGTTACAGCCTCCCCCTTGATGGCTATCAAGGAGAAGAGCCTACACAGCATATTAAAAAACAGAGACATCACCTTGTCAACAAGTTCCATAGAGGCAAAGCTGTGGATTCCCCAATAATAGCAATAGCACTTAGACTTATATACCGCTTTACAGTGCTTCACAGCCGACTCTAAGCGGTTTACAGAGTCAGCCTCTTGCCCCCAACAATCTGGGTCCTCATTTTACCCACCTCGGAAGGATGGAAGGCTGAGTCAACCTTGAGCCTGGTGAGATTCGATCTGCCGAACTGCTGGCAGCCGGTGATCAGCAGAAACAGCCTGCAGTACTTCACTCTAACCATTGTGCCACCGCGACTCATATTATTATACAATAATAATGTAAAACTGTGAGAGTTGGACCATAAGGAAGGCTGAGCACTAAAAAAATTGATGCTTTCAAATTGTGGTGATGGAGAAGACTCTTGAGGGTCCCTTGGATTGCAAGGAGATCCAATCCGTCGATCCTAAAGAAAATCAACCCTGGCTGTCCTTTGGAAGGTCAGATCCTGAAGCTGAAGCTCAGATATTTTGGCCCCCAAATGAGAAGGGAAGACTCTTTGGAAAAGACCCTGATGTTGGGAAAGATGGAAGGCGAAAGGAGAAGAGGACGGCAGAGGATGAGATGGTTAGATAGTGTCATTGACCCAAGGAACTTGAATTTGGGCAAATTCTGGGAGACAGTGGAGGAGAGGGTTGGCCTGGTGTGCTATGGTCCATGGGATCACGAAGAGCTGGATACGACTTAGCAATTGAACAACAACAAGAAGAAAAAAGGAGACGTAAGAACTCCTTAACTTCTCCCTAGTCCTCCTGAACTACAGTTTGGAAATTATTAGTGTTACAACTTTGGTAACAACTCTTCCAATGCAGTATTTTTATCTATGAAGGCAGCCAATCTAGAACATAGAATAATAGGGTTAGAAGATATCATATCTACCAATTCACAGCATTGCTGACTAGGAATAAAGCCAGTGGACACATTTTAGGTGTTTAAAATCATTTTATTTTTAAACAGGAGTTAGTACCTTGCAATCGGTTGCCAAAAATTCCGATATCTGAAATATAGCGGTAATACAACTTCATTTAAGAGCAGATTCCTAACTGGAGCACAGCATCTCATGCCTACCCACGCCTCCTGCTGGTCCCTTGGCAAAGGCAAATGCCAAAACACCGCAAACATTTCTTATATACATACGTGGCATTATTACTGTCACCGTCGTTTACGTTCACAACTAACAATAAGAGCACGCAATAGCAAAAATATAACAGGACATCAACATTACATTTCTGCGGGCAAATATACAGATTTCAAGACGGAAGAAGCCAGCCTCTCTTTTACTTGCAGCAGCTGCATTTAGTGGCAGGGGGGCCTTTGCAAATACAGCCCTGGGCACACTTGGCACAGCCCACCGGGCAACAGGAACAGCAGCCTGAAAAGAGAATGGAAAAATGTCAACCTCAACCTTCAACACAGAGAAACCTTAAACCAAACATTCGATTGAAATCAGAGGCTTTTCTCTGAGGTTTGATGGACAAACCTTGGAGGTCTTCTTAACCAGAGGTCTTCAAACTTGGCAGCTTTAAGACATGTGGACTTCAACTCCCAGAATTCTCCAGCCTGGAGATTTAATTATCTTCTACCCGTTACCTCTTGTTCTGCCCTCAGGTGCTTTGGAGAATAGGTTGATTCGTAGCCCCCCAAATCCAATATTTGCTATCACAGTTCTTCTCTTTGTTAGACTAGATCAGGGGTCTGCAACCTTAAACACTCAAAGAGCCCTTTGGACCCGTTTCCCACAGAAAAGAAAACACCGGGAGCCACAAAACCCTTCCCGTGCCTGACTATCTCTTGAGCAGCCACAAAACTAGCATATGTAGTTGAATTAAACGTTCTGTTTTCTTCTGAAACTTTTCTTTTCTTGGATTTATCCATGGTTGGCCTACCGGGGGATTGAAAAGCTCAATAAATTGCGTGCTGGCGAGTGTCACACATTGGCAGCTGTGATGCATATTTTGAATGACAGGGAGCTGCAGCACAGGGGTGAAAGAGCCACAGGTGGCTCCAGAGCCGCTGGTTGCTGACCTCTGGACTAGACATATTTTTCACCAAGGGGAGAATGAATAATGAAATGGAGTTGTTTTACTTCTTTGATTAAAAGAAGGACTTCATTTCTACTTGGAAACCACTCTTTTACTCTCTCTCTCTCTATATATATATTTTTGTTTGACACTGAAATGCAATTGTAACCTTGCTTTTTGATGATTAGATTTGTTCCTGGTGATAGAAGTGCTGTTTGTTGTAGTTTATTCTACTTCAAAGGGTTGTTGAGTTTTAGATTTTTATCTGTATCAAAGAAAGTCAAATGTTATCTTTTTCTATAGCTTTTATACCTCTATAACTTTTTTTTTAGCTTTTAAAGCTCTAAGATTTAGCTCTATGGCATTTTTTTTCTATAGCTCCCTGGTGTTGCTTCTTTCTCACTCCTTTCCCTTTTTTTTTTTCATTCTTTTTTTCTTATAAGTATTTAATACTTTTTTTGAAATTTAATAAAACTTTGAAGAAAAAGAAAAGGAAAGTATCAACACCCTATCCCTGCTCAAGTGGAAAAAAGTAATCTGAACGAAGAGGTAGAGATTCTGGATTCATAGACATTAAACCCGAACAGTATGATGTTTGAACCAATATTGTACATATTAGGTTTAATGGGCTGTGAACCTGGACATCATGTTTAGTTAAAAAAAAAAAAAAAAAGACTTGTCAGGGGTCCAAAAATCACATTCCATAGACCAAAGATAAACCTCCAACACTTAGCTTTCACAGATCCCAGAATGAGTGGAACAATACAAATAAATAAATAAATAGGGCTATATGGAATAAAAAGTGTGTCTTAATCAGAGGTGGGTTTCAGCAGGTTCTGACCAGTTCTGGAGAACCGGTAGCGGAAATTTTGAGTAGTTTGGAGAATTGGTAGTAAAAATTCTGGCTGGCCCTGTCCCCATCTATTCTCTGCCTCCCAAGTCCCAGCTGATTGGGAGGAAATGGTGATTTTGCAGTAACCTTCCCCTAGATTGGGGACAGAATGGAGATTTTACAGTATCCTTCCCCTGTCACGCCCACCAAGCAGGGGTGAAATGCTCCCAGTTCGGACCGGATCGTCCAATCTGGTAGCAATGGCGGTGGGTGGTTCAGAGAACCGGTAGCAAAAATCCCTGCACCTCCGGCCCCCCATGCTCAGCTGAGCCGCACGATTATCAGAGGCTTCTTTTTTTTTTAAGCATTTTTTCTACAACCTCTTCCGACGAAAAAATGCTTTTAAAAGTAAAAAAAAAAAAAAAAGCCTCTGATGATCGCGTGGCTCAGCTGGGATCCTCAGAGGCTTTTCAAAGCTTTTTTTTCCTGCAACCTCTTGGCCGAAGAGGTGGTAAAAAAAATGTTTTGAAAAGTCTCTGACGATCCCAGCTGAGCCGTGCGATCATCAGAGGCTTTTCAAAGCATTAGAAAAAATGCTTTGAAAAGTTAAAAAAAAAAAAAAAGTTGGCCACACCCACCCAGTCACATTACCCCCCACCACCAAGCCATGACCACAGAACCGGTAGTAACAAATTTTACATTTCACCCCTGCCACCAAGCCACACCCACAGAACTGATAGTAAAAAAAATTGAAACCTACCACTGGTCTTAATGTTTGCAAAACTGTTCTACATTGTTTGATCCCTTAACCAACCTGAAAATATCATCCCACTGGCATCTAACCCCGTCTGCTTTTGAATTATGACCACTGGCATGCCCTACAGAGCCCAGTGGATGGACCTTACTCCAAGCCAAGACTTGGTGTACAGGGTGATAAATCTTACCTGCGTCAAACCTTTTGTGGTTTACTCAAACCAACTTTAAGCAAAACATGGGATCGTATGATGTGGTGTTGTATCACACCGATCAACAATTCTGCTCCCCATCATGTCCTGAACTATCCCTCGTTGTTTTAACTTCGCTAAGTCAAGTCCAAATCTAACACTCATGGTTTTATGATGTGTTGGATCTGTGAGGGCTTTAGTTCTATCCCGAGCACAACCTCACCATAGAAATTAAGTGGTACATAATTATCTCTGCGTTGACTTTGAGCAACCACGATTTAGCTGCGGGCTTGTAGGGTTAATTGGAATTAATGGGGGCTAAACGGCATTTTGAATGCAGCTGCCTAAAGGTGTTTCGGGGCATGAACAGAACACCTGTTTGCAAATCTTCGAAAGAAGTCTTAAAATGGAGGTTTGGCGTTTTGGCGCTTTCCAAAACAGTTTAATTCAGCAATTAAATTAAGGAAATTAAATTAAATTAATTAAATAACCAGCAATAAAAAGTTGACAGTTTGCCTTTTTTTTTTTTAAAGTAACAGGTTGTTGGGAATTTGGGGTTTTGAGTTAGACAACTTTGGAACGTAAGTAAGGCAAAAAGTCTTATATGAGGAATGAAACAATCAAAAGTGCTTTTTTCCAAAAGGCAACTGGACTTCCTTGCTTTTTTTCCCCTTGAAAACTTTTCACTTCTCATCCAAGAAGCTTCTACAGTTCTAATTCATTTCTCACTAGACTAAACTGAAGAAGCTTCTCACTAGGTTAAAACTGAAGAAGTTTCTTGGATGAGAAGCGAAACATTTAGTCACTCCAGCTGCCTTTTGGAAAAAACCATGAACCTGGATGATTGAGCATCTCCATGGATGAAATGATCAGAGCCGTCTTTGATTAGCCTGCTATGTTGTTTGAAGGGTTTGGTGCCCCATACAATGCAGATTGGGTGAACTGAATAAAGGATGGCGAGCGGGGGGGTGGGGGCGCCTGTCCTGGCAAGGATGTTGTGCGACTGCAACTCACAAACTTCGTAAGAAACACAAGAGCTACAACTCGAAAGGAGAGAAGACGAAACATTTAGGAAGCGAATCACGGTACTCACTTTTCCTGCAGGATTTGCATTTACAATTTTTACACTGACAGTTGTTGCCGCAGGAGCACACCCCACCTGCAAAAAAAAAAAAGAAAAAAAAGAGTAAGACACACAATTACCTTCGGAGCACAAACAAGACAAAAGGGCACTTTCAACACAAATCCGCGAGGACTCCAATGTTTTACAGCCTTGGCAAGCAACCCCTCCAGGTCAACCCAAGAAGGAATAGCGGGGGTGGGACCCTTCTCCTTCACCCAAGCAAGGATGCCCGTAGCAGCTTCTTCACCACCCCCTAGCTGGCCCTTGGCTACAGTGCCCCAAAGTCTGAAAAGAGAGCGAGGAAGCAGCGAAGGGATTTTTTGGGTGGGTCCCTTGGCTAAGAGCACCCAGGAAAGCTACCAGCCGCCGCGCTCCCCCATCACCACACGTCTTGAACGTGAGGATGTAGCCCTGGGAAGGAAAGCAGGACCTGCGAGGAGGGAGAGGCGGCCCCAAAAAGCAGAGCACAGGTCAGTCTCTCTCTCTCTCTCTCTCTCTCTCTCTCTCTCCTTCTCTTTCTCTCTCTCTCTTTTCTCTTTTTCTCTCTTTTCTCCTCTCTTTCTCTTTTTCTTTTTCTCTCACTCTCATTCCCTCTCCCTCTCTCTCTTTCTGTCTCTTTCTTCCTTTTTCTCTCACTCTTATTCTCTGTCTTTCTCTCCTTCTCTTTCTCTCTCTTTCTCTCTGAGTGTCTCTTTTTCTCTTCCTCTCTCTACTCTTTTTTCTCTCTCTTCTTTTTCTTTCTCTCTTTCTTTCTCTCTTTTTCTTTTTCTCTTCTTTTTTTCTCTGTCTCTTTCTTTCTATCTTTTTCTTTCTGTGTCTCTTTCTTTCTTTCTTTGTCTCTTTTTCTTTCTCCTTTCTTTTTCTTTCTCTGTCTCTTTCTCTCTTCCCCCCCTCTTTTTTTCTTTCTCTTTTTCTCTATCTACTTTCTCTCTCTCTCTTTTCTCCTTTCTCTCTCTCTCTCTCTCTGTCTTAGTCTCTCTTTTTCTCTTTTTCTCTCTTCCTCCTCTTTCTTTTTCTTTCTCTCTCTGTCTCTTTTCTCTCTCTCTCTCTCCCTCCCTCCCTCCCTCTCTCTCTTTCTCTCTCTCTCTCTCTCTCTCTCTCCAAGCAGAAGGGCAGAAGGGATGGCGGGGAGTCCAGGCGGAGCCGCACCGCTGGAGCACGAGCAGTCTTCGGAATCCATGCGGGCGCTTTGAGTCTCGGGAGCTCCGGTGGATGCAAAGTAGGCTCAGGGCGAAGATGCGCATCCAGTGAGGCGAAGAGCCCCGCACGGCCGCTATTTATTTCCCCGCGGGGAGCGGGTGCAAAAGCCGCCCCGCCCGGTGCACACGGCGCCCGCCCCCGAAAAAGCAGCCGCCGCGCCTCGCCCGGCTGGGAAGCTGAGCGCGTTGGCCCCCGGGCGACGGATGCACCTGCACGGGCTCCGCGCTTCCCGAGGCGGACCCTCACCTGGATGGACGGGGAGGGGAGGGGAGGGGAAGGAGGGGGGGTAAAGCTCTGTCTGTCCCCCCCCACTCCAGCCATGAGCTTCTGGATCTTTGCAAAGAAGCCAATTGGGGGTCCCGGGCGATGCCAGCCGCATGCTCTTGCTTGACCCTGGAATCTGGTTAATTAGGGCAGGGGTCTCCAACCTTGGCAACTTTAAACCTGGATGGACGGGGAGGGGAGGGGAAGGAGGTGGGGGGTAAAGGATCCTGGATGGCTCAGCAGACTAATACATTGTAATTTAACACCAGCTGTCTGCAATTAGTAAGTTCGAATCTCGCCAAGGCTCAAGGTTGACTCATCCTTCCATCCTTTCTAAGGTAGGTAAATTGAGGATCCATTTGTGGGGGCAATAAGCTGACTTTGTATAAATATACAAAAGGATGAAGGCTATTGCTGAGCACATTGTAAGCCGCCCTGAGTCTCCGGAGAAGGGCGGCATATAAATCAAATTAAAAAAAAAAAAGCTCTGTCTGTCCCCCCCCCCCTTCAGCCACAAGCTTCAGGACCTTTGCAAAGGAGCCAATTGAGGGTCCTGGGCGATGCCACGCCGCATGCTCTTGCTTGACCCTGGAATCTGGTTAATTAGGGCAGGGGTCTCCAACCTTGGCAACTTTAAACCTGGAGGACTTCAACTCCCAGAATTCCCCAGTCAGCAAAGCAAAGCTGGCTGGGGAATTCTGGGAGTTGAAGTCCTCCAGGGATAAAGTTGCCAAGATTGGAGACCCCTGAATTAGGGAGTTTATTTAAGCCTGGAAATTGGGGAGAATGGTGTCTGGGCGTGTGCAGAGCGCTGCCGAAGTTAGACTAGCTTCGGAGATGAAGGTGACTCGGATTTTCAGCTCTTTTGGGTTCCCTCAGTTTTCCAGGTCTTCTCTTAATGTGATTGATCCATTTTTCTTCCCCTCCACCCGAAAGCCAAAAATATACAATATACACTGCTGAAATAAATAAATAAATAAATTATTATTATTATTATTATTATTATTATTATTATTATTATTATTATTTTATTTCTATACCGCCCTTCTCCCGAAGGACTCAGGGCGGTGTACAGCCAATTTAAAAACACAGGACACAACAATGATTAAAAATTAAAATAATTAAATAGATTTGGCTGATTTAAAACCCCCCAAATTTAAAATACCCCAATTTTAAAATTATTATGTTGATAGCCCAGCCTGGCGGAACAACATTTTGAGGGCACAGCGAAATACACGGAGATCAGAGATCTTACACAGTTCCGGGGGCAGTTCATTCCACAGGGCTGGGGCTCCCACAAAGAAGACCTCCCCCTGGGTGTCGCCAGCCGACATAACTTGGCCGATGGCACCCTGAGGAGACCCTCTCTGTGGGAACGGACTGGTCGGTGGGAGGCTATTGGTGGCAGAAGACGGTCTCGAAGGTACCCGGGTCCTATGCCATGGAGTGCTTTGAAGGTGGTAACCAACACCTTGAATCGCACCGGAAGACCACTGGGAGCCAGTGCAGCTCGCGCAGGAGGGGTTTCACGTGGGCACAATGAGTTGCACCCATAACCACCCGCGCGGCCACATTCTGGACCAGTTGGAGCCTCTGAGTGCTCTTCAAGGGGAGCCCCATGTAGAGAGCATTACAATAGTCCAGCCGGGAGGTGACAAGGGCGTGAGTGACTGTGCGCAAGGCGTCCCGGTCCAGAAAGGGCTGCAACTGGCGGATCAGGCGAACCTGATAAAAGGCCCCCCTGGCCACGGCCGTCATATGCTCTTCTAAAGACAGCCGTGCGTCCAGGAGGACACCCAGATTGCGAGCCCTCTCTGTGGGGGGCAAAGATTCACCCCCAATAGTCAGCAATGGCACCTGCTGACTATATCGGGATGCTGGCAGCCACAGCCACTCGGTCTTGGACGGGTTGAGTCTGAGCCTGTTCCTCCCCATCCAGACCTGCACGGCCTCCAGGCAGCGAGACATCACATCAAGGGCATCGTTGGGGTGGTCTGGGGTGGAAATAAAGGGAACACAAGCAGAAGATATCCGAGATCTGAATGAATGAAATAGCCTTATGAAATACTTTGTTCTTTACATACAATAGTTTATACACTGCTCAAACAACTACAGGGAACACAAAACTACTGCATGTAACGAACAAAGTATTTTATAAGGCTATTTCATTCATTCAGATCTCGGATGTTTCTCCTTGTGTTCCCTTTATTTTTTTGAGCAGTGTATTTAACAAGGGGGTAGGGCAACAGGTGACTTAAGCCACTCTGGTTTGTACAGGCCAGTCCTCCGCCGAACAACTACAGCGAGTCCTCAACTTATAACCGTTCACTTAGTGACGGGAGTTACAACGGCCCTGAAAAATGGATGATTTTTCACACTTAATGACCGTTGCGGCATTCCCCCACTGTCACCTGATTTACATTCGGATGCTTGACAACCGACTCACATTTACGACAGTTGCGGTGTCCTGGGGTTACGTGATCCCGTTTTGCGACCTTCTGACAAGCAAAGTCAAGGGGGAAGCCGGATTCACTTAACAACCATGTGACTCACTTAACAACGGCAGGGTTTCACAGTTAACGGTGACAAGAAAAGTTGCAAGATGGGGCAAAACTCCCTTAACAGATGTCTCACTTAGCCCCATAAATGTTGGGCTCAATGGTGGTCGTAAGTCGAGGACTACCTGTCTTCATTTTAAGGAATGTTTGATGTTACAAAGGTATTTTAAAAAAAAAGGCACTTAGGACCAGTCCTCAGATATATGACCGTCACTGTATCTCCACAGCCGCACGATCAAAATCCAGGAGTTTGGCCACCGGCATGAATTTACAATGGTTGTGGTATGCCAGGATCGTGTGAATGCCATTTGCAACCTTTTAAACCAGGTTCCGACAAGCCAAGAAACCAGATTTGCTTAATGAATCTTCAGTGGTTCACGAAAACACTCATAAAATTGAGTGTGACTCACTTAACAACAGGTTTTCTTAGCAAGGGAAATTCTGCTCCCAATTGTTGTCGTAAATCGAGGATTACCTGTACAGGCACTCCTCGACTTACGACCACAATTGAGCCCAAAATTTATGTTGTTAAAGCGAGACAGTTGTGAAGTGAGTTTTGTCCCCTTTGAGGACTTTTCTTGCCGCCGTTGTTAAGCGAATCACTGTAGTGGTTAAGATAGTAACGCCGTTGTTAAGTGAATCCGGCTTCTCCCTTGACTTTGCTTGTCAGAAGGAAGGTCACAAAAGTGGATCCCATGATCCTGAAATCCTGCAACCGTCATAAACGCGAGCCAGTTGCCAAGGCTCTGAATTTTCATCACGTGACTGTAGGGATGCTACAGTGGTCGTAAGTGTGAAAAATGGTCATAAGTCATTTTTTTCAGGGCCGTTGTAACTTTGAACGGTCACTAAACGAACTGTCGTAGGTCGAGGACCACCTGGGCTGTGTGAATCTAGCCACTGCAGCTATTGCAAGAGATTATAACAAGGGCAGGAAAGAAGCCAAAATAGCAGCCTCACCAGGTGATTTTCATGTGCATGATGTGCAACGCACCAAACAAGGAATGGGAGTTTGCTGAATGGTGGCAGTCACTAACTCGATATTTTTGACCCTCGGGACCTCCTTACAGGTAGTCCTCGACTTACAACAGTTCATTTAGTGACCGTTCAAAGTTACAACAGCACTGGAAAAAAAGTGACAGTATAGGACCATGATGGCGAACCTATGGCACGCGTGCCACAGGTGGCACACGGAACCATAGCAGTGGGCACGCAAGCATTGCCCTAGCTCAGCTCCTGTGTGCATGTGTGTGCCGGCCAGCTGATTTTCGGGCCTTCCGGGCCCACCGGAAGTCGTGAAACAGTCTGTTTCCAGCCTCCGGAGGGCCTCTGAGGAATGGGTGGGGAAGGCCTGTTTTTCGCTCTCCTCAGGCTCCAAGAAAGCCTCTAGAGCCTGGGGAGGGCAAAAAATGGGCCTACTGGATCCACCATGCCATTGTGTGCCAAAAGCGTGGGGAGCGTGGGGGGGGGGGTTGAGCGTACATGTGCAGGGGAGTGGTGCAGATTGAATTATGGGTGTGGACACGCGTGCACGCTCCCCCCGCTCCCCCCGTTTTTGGCACGCGACAGCAAAAAGGTTAGCCATCACTGGTATAGGAGTACAGGAAGTCCTCGATGTACGACCCGCAATTGAGCCCACGATTTATATTGCTAAGTGGGGCATTTGTTAAGTGAGTTTTGCCTCATTTGACGACCTTCTTTGCCACAGTTGTTATGTGAATCACTGCAGTCACGTTAGTAACACTACCTGTCCAAGCGTAAGATCCAAGTAAAAAGGTTGAGGGACACCAATCCAAACTGAAGCACTCTTGGATATACCACTTCCCTATTTCCAGGGGGGGAAAAAAATCTAGAAAAAGGCAAAGGCAAATCTAGATATATCTGCAGGATATGATAAAAAAAAAAAGCAAGATAGCAGCGGCAATTTGAAAGATTTTCGACCGATTTTATACGGCCGCAAAAAAATTCATACAGGAGCTGAAGAATGAGAGAATCTTCATTCGTCCATCGCATCTCGAAAGCACCAAGTTGGGAAAGATGCTAGACGAAAAAGAGCCTGATGAAACTGCATTTCTGATTCATTATTAACTATGAGAACTACAGGCTATTAATTATCTTCCTGACTGCATAGTAATTAATAGTTAATTGTCACTGGTGAATTTCAGCACCTGCTCTGGGCCTGTCTTGGCTAGGAGAGGAGGAATTTCTGAAAATACGGCTTCGAAAGAACAAAGTAAAACTAAACGGAAGGGAAAAAATAGAAC